TGCTCCTGGTTCTGTTTTGGGAACATGGGAAATACATGGGAGACCTATAATGGTGCGATCATACCCCGATCACATGCGGCCCCCAGAGGCCACATCGGGCCCCCGTCCCCTCATGTCTGTGAATTGTGTAAATACTCTGCTCCTGGTTCTGTTTTGGGAACATGGGAGATCAGATTTATTTTTTTGTGACACTTTTTTTTCAGGAAAATCATGTAACACGATAGAGCCGTCACTGTGTCCCCTCCTCTCAATACAGATGATGATAACACTTTGAAAATGTTGTCTGGCTTCTTTTTTTTCCCTCATTGAAGTTTATTTTGTTTTGAATAGAATGGGGAAGGGTTGGGGGTTCTGTTGGGTTTTTATTGGTGTACTACAAAAAAAAAGAAAGGATTGTAGGGAAATATGAGAAGGTTTTTATTGGTGTCCCCATTTGGGAGATTTCCCCTCACTTCCTGTCTGTAAAGGAGGTCATGGGAAATTGCTTCAGATATAAAGGCTTTGTGGGGTGTATGGATGCATCCCCCTTATGAAGGCTGCGTTCACCCGCATGGGGGATGCACACGCAGTCCTGTTGGGGTGCAGCCGTTACTTAGACAGAGCCCGCTGTTCCCGTTCTGACATCGGTGTGGGTGCACGACCCCCTGAATGCAGACAACTGGAGTTTGAGGACCTGCACCCACATGGATCAGATTGGGAGCAGTGGTTGTATCTGGGAGTAGAGCTTCTCCCCACTTCTTCTAGTGCCAGCTGTTGATCCCATTTCCTGTACGGGTGTCACCGAGACAGGAAGTGAAGGATAAATCTCCCTGATGAATATAGAACCTGATAGAAAATGTAACTCTTTGCCCAAGTGTGGCACGGGGCCTATGGTCAACCTAATGTACGGCATGCAGAAGGTTCCTCCTGACACACTGAACGGCACGTCTACCCTATAATGTGCCTCGTTGACCATAACAGCCAATCAAAATCCTCATTTACGTTCCGGATCACCTAGGTGCCATCGAACCGGTTGCTTTGACTGTCAAGAGATGGTTTTTGTAGGCCACGTTCGCGTTGATGGCCATCGGCGAGAGTCATCGGGCTCTGTATCAGAGGTGGGCAACCTGCGGCTCTCTAGCTGTTGTGGAACTACATTTCCCATGAGGCATTGCAAAATTGACAGTTACAGCTAGGACTTGCAGAGGCATGATGGACCTTGTAGTCCTGCAACAGCTGGAGAGCCGCAGGTTGCCCACCCCTGGTCTAGATCGATGCTGTTGAGATGTTACCTGAATAGAGGCCACCATCCAGGGACAGTATTTTTGGCCGCGCGCAAACTGGATGCAGCCAAAGCAAAGAAGTGCAGCTGCGGCCCGAGAACGGGCCACAAACTATCCACCCCCAGGTGCCCAATGGATTTATCCCTGCCACACCTTCCATACGTGTGTGCATCCAACACATCAAGAGGAGTCTTAAGGGGCATCGAAATCAGCAGCGTACCTAACATGGGAGGTCAGTGAATGGGTGTTCACCTGGTGGAACTCTCCTGGGTCCACAAGTGGGATAGTGAAGAGTGGAAAATATGGCCAAGATACACAGCTGGGGGGGGGGGTCCAGGAAACATGGCGGGGAGTCAAGAAAACATGACCTTGTTCAGGGGACAGGGCCGAGGACCAGGACACATGACCAAGATCCGGCAAACATGGCTGGAGGTCTAGGAAGCATGGCTGGGCTTCAGGAAACATGGCAGGCAGTCAAGAAAATGTGGCTGGGGTCCAGGAAATGTGGCTGGCTAGGGGGTCCAGAAAAATGGCCGGGGGTCCAGGAAACATGGTTGGGGGTCTGGGAAACATGGCTGAGGGTCTTGGAAACATGGCTGAGAGTCCAGGAAACATGTCCGGGAAATATGGGGTCCAGGAAACATGGTTGAGGTCTAGAAAACATGGCAGAGGTCCAATAAACATGGTCGGGGGGTCTGGGAAGTATGGTTGGGGGTCCGGTAAACATGGCTGGGGTTCAGAAAACATGGCTGAGGGTCTGAAAAACATGGCGGAGGTCCTGAAAACATGGCTGGGGGTACAGAAGACATGGCTGAGGATCTGGAAAACATGGCTGGGGTCCAAGAAACATGGCTGGGGGTCTGGGAAGTATGGCTGGGGGTCCAGTAAACATGGCTGGGGTTCAGAAAACATGGCCAGGGATCCAGGAGATATGGCGGAGGTCCTGAAAACATGGCTGGGGGTACAGAAGACATGGCTGAGGATCTGGAAAACATGGCTGGGGTCCAAGAAACATGGCCGGAGGGTCTGGGTCTGGGGGTCCAGCAAACATGGCTGGGGTTCAAAAAACATGGCCAGGGGTCCAGGAGATATGGCGGAGGATCTGGAAAACATGGCTGAGGATCTGGAAAACATGGACGGGGGTCTGGGAAGCATGGGTGAAGGTCTGGGAAACATGGGTGAGGTCCAGGAAACATGGCTGGGGTGCAAGAAACATGCTCGAGGGGTCCGGGAAACATGGCCGAAGGTCTGGAAAACATAGGGTCCAGGAAATATGTCCAAAGATCTGCAAAACATGGGTGAGGGTCCAAGAAACATGGCCGAAGGTCTGGGAAACATGGCCGGGGGTCCAGGAGACATAGCTGAGGGTCCGGAAAACATGGCCGGGGATCCGGGAAAAGGATTATTTGAACCCGCTGCTCCCGGGATACGACACACATCAGCCGCAGTGAAAGGGTTCAACCCAAGGCGCACAATGTGTGAATGTTGGGTGAAAAGGTCTGTGAATGTCATGGAGACGAGTTATGTGTCGGAATATTTTATTCTCTTTTGTTTACAATGACTTCTCACTCAGCAGCGACTCTCCTCTCTCAGCCTCCATATTGGAAGCCCCTCAGAGGGAGCGCCTCACGTGATTGGGCTGCCCCATGACGGACAGGAGCCGCCAGCCAATCAAGTGCCAGTATCGCCAGGCGGGAAATAGACGGACCGGCCCCGAGCAATATGGAAGCCGAAGCGGTCCCGTCCACCTCCTCCGAGCGGCCCGGAGCCGCGGACACCCCGGGGCGGCTGATCATCTTCAACACTCTGGTGGACAAGTTTCTGGAGGGGCTGGTGGAGGCGGGAAGGTGAGGCGCTGATTGGCCGCCCCCGTCGGGTTCGGCGAGTTGTGATTGGCTGGGGGGGCTGCTGCTTGACTCACTGGGGGAGAGGATTGGCTGAACGCCTCAGAGATTGCGTGTTCTGATTGGCGGGATGGGGAGGCGCCTGAATTATCATTGGCTGAGAGTTTTGGTCAGTTTCTATGTCCTGGAGCTTGCCACAAGAGCTGACAATCAGCGGAGATTGATCTTCTGACATATTGTAACCTCACCCACCACAGTGGAGAGGAAGAGTGACAGGATCTGTGACCCCCCCCAATGGGGGAGGTTTGTGTAGTGACACCAGTACAGGAAATAAGGGTGTGTGGGGTGTCACCAGATGACAATGTTGTCAGAACCCTTCCTCCCATTACTACATGATGTATGTGTGTCCCCATAGGAGAGATTTCCCATCACTTCCTGTCCTGGTGACACCTTTATACCAGAGAGGAAGTGAGGGGGAGGCTGCCACAGGAACACAGAGAGAAATAAATACCTGACGGGTTCTAAAAACACTTACTTCCTGGCAGGAAGTCTCCAGTGGTGGTGGGAGGAGTCTGGAGCTTACAGGACTGATCAAGTGTTCACAGAAGGGGTTGGTGGGAGGTGTCTGGAGCTGGTGGGTGGGGCCTTAAGCTAGTGGGAGGGATCTGGAACTTGCAGGCAGTGTCTGAAGCTGGTGGGAGGAGCCTTAAGTTGGAGGGAGGAGTCTATAACTTGCAAGAGGTGTCTGGAGTTTGCTGGAAGATTCTGGAATTTTCAGGAGGTGTTTGGGGGCTTGTGGGAGGAGTCTCGAGCTGTTGAGGGGGGCCTGAAGCTGGTGGGAGGAGTCTTGAATTGGTGGGAGGGGAGTTGAGCTGGTGGAAAGGATCCAAAGCTGGTGGGAGGAGTTTTGAGTTAAGAGGGGCCTGGAACTGGTGGGAGGATCCTGGAACTAGTGGGAGGAGTCTTGAGCTGGAAGGAGGATCCTGAAACTAGTGGGAGGAGTCTTGAGTTGGTGGGAGAGGACTGGAACTGGCAGGAGGAGTCTTTAGCTGGAAGAAGGATCCTGGAGCTGGTGGGAGGAGTCTTGAGCTGGAAGGAGAATCCTGGAATTAGTGGGTGGAGTCTTGAGTTGGTGGGAGGTGCCTGGAACTGGTGAGAGCAATTGAGCTGGAAGGAGGATCCTGGAACTGGTGAGAGAAGTCTTGAGTTGGTGGGAGGAGTCTTGACCTGCAAGGAGGGTCCTTGGAAGTCTGAGTGGGAGCAGGGACTTGGGAGGAGTCTTGAGCTGGAGGAGGATCCTGGGACTGGTGGGAGGAGTCTTGAGCTGGAAGGAGGATCCTGGGACTGGTGGGAGGAGTCTTGAGCTGGAAGGAGGATCCTGGGACTGGTGGGAGGAGTCTTGAGCTGGAAAGAGGATCCTGGGACTGGTGGGAGGAGTCTTGACCTGCAAGGAGGGTCCTGGAACTGGTGGGAACAGTCTTGAGCTGGAAGGAGGATCCTGGGACTGGTGGGAGGAGTCTTGAGCTGGAAGGAGGATCCTGGGACTGGTGGGAGGAGTTTTGAGCTGGAAGGAGGATCCTGGGACTGGTGGGAGGAGTCTTGAGCTGGAAGGAGGATCCTGGGACTGGTGGGAGGAGTCTTGAGCTGGAAGGAGGATCCTGGGACTGGTGGGAGGAGTCTTGAGCTGGAAAGAGGATCCTGGGACTGGTGGGGGAGGAGTCGAGCTGGAAGGAGGATCCTGGGACTGGTGGGAGCAGTCTTGATCTCCATGGCAGCTTGCGGGGGGGGGGGGGGGGGTGCTCCCACCGCGCTGACTGAGCTCTGGATCAAGGCTTCTGATTGGGTGCCAGCGGGATGGGCTCCTGATCACGTGACTGCTGGGGAAAGCCAATAACAGCAGTCACATGATTCCACAGCTGGTGTTAACAGATTAGTGACCGCTCCCCTACACCGACAGAACAGCGCCTCCCTCTGGAGGAAGCTCCACAAGCAGCAGTGACACACAATGCAGTACAGCGAAGGCCCCCTCCCCCCCCCATACAGAAAAGACAACCCTGCAGCTCCGGGTGACCTCTGACCTCCGCTGGCGGTTTATCTATAACCTCATCCCCTCCCCCCCTTCCTCCACAGCTACCAGCGCTTCGCCCGCTGCTACAAGAAGTTCTACAAGCTGCAGCCGGAGCTGACCCGAGGCATCTACGACCAGTTCGTGGCCCAACTGCATTCCTCCATCAAGGTGAGCCCAGCGCAATTCTACTTTCGGCATAACCGTAAAGTGTAACTGCCGTTTACAAATACTGTTCAAGAGTTCCCACCATCAATAATCATCGCACTGTGCTTTTTTTTTTCTTTTTCCAATGTTCACCAGCGCCATCTAGTAGCCACAATGTGGTATTGTCATGAAATACCTCAATCAGGAAATACCTCATTGTGGCCACTAGATGGAGCCGGAGATCATAGGAAACAGACAGGTGAGCCTCCATTGGTGAGGGCTGTGTGGATGCCTCAGGCTTTTTTTTTTTTATATATATGAACAGACCTCTACGTTTCATTGATTTTTATTGCGATTTTTTTTTTTTTTTTATCGCAGGCAGAGATTCAGGAGATAAAGGAAGAGGGGAATCTGGAGGTGCTGCTGAACTCTTTGGACAAGATGGAGAAGGACGCGACGACCGCGGCGGATATCCAATGGTGAGATCTGTTCAACGCTAAAAACCGCGTGCGTTAAGAGCCGGTTCACACTACAGAAACGCAGTCCGGGTGCATTTCCGTATGCGTTTTTGACGCGTTCCAGTGCGTTTTTGCGAGTGCTCGAATGGTCAGTCGCCCCCGGGCCCTCAGGCAGTGCTCAAATGGTCAGTTTGCCCCTGGGCCCTCACAGTGCTCAAATGGTCAGTTCGCCCCCGGCCCTCGGGCAGTGCTCGAATGGTCAGTTCGCCCCTGGGCCTCGGGCAGTGCTTGAATGGTCAGTTCGCCCCTGGGCCCTCGGGCAGTGCTTGAATGGTCAGTTCGCCCCCGGGCCCTCGGGCAGTGCTTGAATGGTCAGTTCGCCCCTGGGCCCTCAGACAGTGCTCGAATGGTCAGTTTGCCCCCGGGCCCTCAGGCAGTGCTGGAATGCTCAGTTCGGGCCCTCAGGCAGTGCTCGAATGCTCAGTTTGCCCCCGGGCCCTCAGGCAGTGCCGGGCCCTCACAGCGCTCGAATGGTCAGTTCCCCCCGGGCCCTCACAGCGCTCGAATGGTCAGTTCCCCCCCGGGCCCTCACAGCGCTCGAATGGTCAGTTCCCCCCCGGGCCCTCACAGCGCTCGAATGGTCAGTTCCCCCCGGGCCCTCACAGCGCTCGAATGGTCAGTTCCCCCCCGGGCCCTCACAGCGCTCGAATGGTCAGTTCCCCCCCGGGCCCTCACAGCGCTCGAATGGTCAGTTCCCCCCCCGGGCCCTCACAGCGCTCGAATGGTCAGTTCCCCCCCGGGCCCTCACAGCGCTCGAATGGTCAGTTCCCCCTCGGGCCCTCACAGCGCTCGAATGGTCAGTTCCCCCCCGGGCCCTCACAGCGCTCGAATGGTCAGTTCCCCCCCGGCCCTCACAGCGCTCGAATGGTCAGTTCCCCCCCCCGGGCCCTCACAGCGCTCGAATGGTCAGTTCCCCCCCGGGCCCTCACAGCGCTCGAATGGTCAGTTCCCCCCGGGCCCTCACAGCGCTCGAATGGTCAGTTCCCCCCCGGGCCCTCACAGCGCTCGAATGGTCAGTTCCCCCCCGGGCCCTCACAGCGCTCGAATGGTCAGTTCCCCCCCCCTCACAGCCCTCACAGCGCTCGAATGGTCAGTTCCCCCCCCGGCCCTCACAGCGCTCGAATGGTCAGTTCCCCCCCGGGCCCTCACAGCGCTCGAATGGTCAGTTCCCCCCCCGGGCCCTCACAGCGCTCGAATGGTCAGTTCCCCCCCGGGCCCTCACAGCGCTCGAATGGTCAGTTCCCCCCCGGGCCCTCACAGCGCTCGAATGGTCAGTTCCCCCCCGGGCCCTCACAGCGCTCGAATGGTCAGTTCCCCCCCGGGCCCTCACAGCGCTCGAATGGTCAGTTCCCCCCCGGGCCCTCACAGCGCTCGAATGGTCAGTTCCCCCCCGGGCCCTCAGGCAGTGCTCGAATGGTCAGTTTGCCCCGGGCCCTCAGGCAGTGCTCGAATGGTCAGTTTGCCCCCGGGCCCTCACAGCGCTCGAATGGTCAGTTTGCCCCGGGCCCTCACAGCGCTCGAATGGTCAGTTCCCCCCCGGGCCCTCACAGCGCTCGAATGGTCAGTTCCCCCCCGGGCCCTCACAGCGCTCGAATGGTCAGTTCCCCCCCGGGCCCTCACAGCGCTCGAATGGTCAGTTCCCCCCCGGGCCCTCACAGCGCTCGAATGGTCAGTTCCCCCCCGGGCCCTCACAGCGCTCGAATGGTCAGTCCCCCCCGACATGGTCAATGGTCAGTCCTCCCCCCCGGGCCCTCACAGCGCTCGAATGGTCAGTTCCCCCCCGGGCCCTCACAGCGCTCGAATGTTCCCCCCCCGGGCCCTCAGGCAGTGCTCGAATGGTCAGTTCGCCCCGGGGGCCCTCAGGCAGTGCTCGAATGGTCAGTTCGCCCCCGGGCCCTCAGTTCGCCCCCCCGGGCCCTCACAGCGCTCGAATGGTCAGTTCGCCCCCGGGCCCTCAGGCAGTGCTCGAATGGTCAGTTCCCCCCCGGGCCCTCACAGCGCAATGGCAGTTCGCCCCCGGGCCCTCACATGCGCTCGAATGGTCAGTTCGCCCCCGGGCCCTCAGGCAGTGCTCGAATGGTCAGTTCGCCCCGGGGCCCTCAGGCAGTGCTCGAATGGTCAGTCCCCCCCCGGGCCCTCAGGCAGTGCTCGAATGGTCAGTTTGCCCCGGGCCCGAGTGTCCCTGAGAGTTCTCTCTGTTTTAACATCATGGAATCAATTCTGTGGTTAGAGGGGAGGCTGGTCACGTGACTGATGGATCATGTGATCGAGCTACAGGGGGGTACCATGGCTGTCACTGATTGGCTCTTGGTTCCAACTCTTAATACCGACCAGGCTGTATAATAAACCGACGGAAGAACGGGAGAGTCCAGAACTCGAGCAGTTAAATTGAGCTTTTAGGTGTGCGGGTACCTCTTAAAAGCCACTGGGTGCTACAGCTAAGGAAAACCAAGGGCCACACGGGGCCCCAGCGGCACCAACAGTTGCACTTTTCTCCGCAGGCGTCCCAGCGGAGTTCCCGAGGAGGACCTGCGGCAGCACTTGGTCCCCTACCTCCTGCAGCAGCGGGAATACCTGCGCAAGCTGGTGAAGGAGAAGGAACAGGAGAATGCCAAGCTGGCCCAGTCCGTCCTGGCCGGGAGGAGGAAGATCGAGGAGATGCAGCAGGAGATCCAGAAGAGGCAGCAGGCCTGGCAGGTGAGGTGGCGTGTCGCGGGTACGACTGAGCACGCTCTGTGCTGGCACAAAGTCCTGTCTTCGCTCACACCTTTTTTTTTTTTTTTTTTTTTTTTTTATTCCAGAAGTTGAGTCAGTCTCAGAGGGAGCTGATCCTGTCCATTCAAGAGACCGAGAAGGTGTGACCAGCGGAGCCCACGGGTGTCAGACCTGCGGCCCTCCAGCTGTTACCAAACTACAAATCCCATGAGGCACTGCAAGATTGACCGTTACAAGCATGACAGAGGCATGATGGGACTTGTAGTTTCGCAACAGCTGGAGGGCCGCCTTTGTGACACCCCCTGCCGTAGCGGCTGCTGTCTCATATTGCGGACAGATGCAGCCTCGCCCCGCTGCCTTGCTGAAACATTTCTCCGCACCAAAGGACCACCGTGGTGGTATTGTGTTCTGATACCTGTGTGTGGTCACTACGGGTGATGACCGTATTCAGTACAGTCTCTTCTAGAAGCCACGCCCATTTATTTAGATTTGCACTTTTTACTGTACTGCCAGTTTTTTGTATGGAAAAGTGACAGTTACTAGGGTTGTGATCAGGGGCGGACTGACCATTTGGAAACTCGGGCACTGCCCGAGGGCCCGGGGTCAGTAGGGGGCCCCATGAGATGCCCCTGGTACCTTTTTTTCATAGGCTTTTTTGAGTTTGGGCAAGGACACAGGGGCCCCATGATCCCCTATTGCCCGGGGGCCCCATGAGTCCATCCCTGGTTGTGATGAACCGTAACACTGCCAGGGGTACTAATAATGTTTGGGGCTCATTCACACATTGCCTACTTAAAGCGGAGCTCCACCTAAAAAAAAAAAAAAAAAAAAATCAGCTACAGTCTTTGTTTTTTTTTTTAACCGCTTGGCGCCGGCAGAACGCAAATGCGCAGCCCTCCCGGCACCGGGCCTAGCCACACATTTGCGTTCTATAAAAAAAAAAAAAAAAAAAACGCGCCGAGAGCACACACGTTTGGTACTCCCAGCACACACGTTTGGTACTCACGGAAAGGTCCCGATCTCCTCTTTCGATCGGGACCTTTCCCGATCATGTGACAGCGAAATCACGGCAGTTACATGACCCTGAAACCCTGCCCCGCCTCCTGGCTTCTGGAACCCTTAAAGGGCCGGGAGGCGCTGGCGTCAAGGTGGAACTCCGCTTTAAGTAGGCAATGTTTAAAATCCAGCCACTTACCTGTCCCGGGGTCCCGCGGTGTCCTCACCACGGCTTGTTTCACCGGCCGTCTTCTCTCCCCGGCCCTGGCATCTTCAGTGTGGGCACCCAGCTGCGGCTTCACAGCCAGGTGCCCACTGCGCATGCGCGAGGAGCGCCGCGCTTTGTGAATGGCCCCGTAGTCTTCTGGGACCTGTCACGTGTCCCAGAAGACTACGGGGGGAGGACAACTTCCGCTTCGAATCGCAGCGGAAGTGGGAGTGGGTACCTGTCAAATTCGGGTACCCGCTCCCCAAAGGTGCAAATCACGGGTGGACTGACAACTCATGGGGCCCCCGGGCAATAGGGGTCATGGGGCCCCTGTGTCCTTGCCCAAACTCAAAAAAGCCTATGAAAAAGGTACCGGGGCATCTCATGGGGCCCCCTAATGACCCCGGGAACTCTGGCAGTGCCCTAGTTTACAAATGGTCAGTCCGCCCCTGGTGCCAATCCTTAACCTCTTCACGCCGGCCGAACGCAAATGTGTGCCCTCCCAGCGTCTGGACCTAGGCGCGAGCAGCCGCACATTTGCGTTCTATTAAAAAAGGACGCAGCACACGCGTTCGGTACTCACGGAAAGGTCCCGATCTCCTCTTTCGATCGGGACCTTTCCCGATCATGTGACGGCGGTCACATGACCCTAGACCCCGCCACCCGGCTTCTGAAACTCTTAAAGGGCCAGGAGGCGCCGGCGTGAGGGGGGTTAACGGGGAGCGGGGGACGAAGGCTTAAAGCAGAACTTCCCCTTTTTTGGGTGGAGCTCCGCTTTAAGCATACGGGTCCCGTTTACTTGCACAGGTGTTCCGTGCATCCCCCGTGCAGGCAGTCCTGTTCATGTGTTCTGGGAAGCAGCGGCTGCACGGCTCCCAGTGTACACACACCCGTACCCACATAGCTGTCAGATTAGGTGCGCTTGCTGTGTTCGTGCGTCCTAGTAGACATGAACGAGCCTGGGATGCACGGAACGCCTGTGCATTCCCATACAGGCAGACCCCGCCCTCACACAGGCGTGTGCTTAAGTACGCCCGTGTCAGCAAGGCCCTAGTGTGTTATGTCCCATCACTGGCACTCTGCGTGGAGATGCAGAGAAATGTATAAATAAAGACCCCTAAAATGAGAATATTGTCCCACGTATTACCAACATACAGACACAAGACGGGTGTCTCGGCGTATTATACCCGGTGCCTGCAGCAAGCCCCAGGAACGTACGGGGCACCCGGGAACGTACGGGGCACCCGGGAACGTACGGGGCACCCGGGAACGTACGGGGCACCTGGGATTTTATTATTATTTTCTGTTTGTTAAAAAATGTCTAATTGTTAAAAATGTCTAATAAATGATGTCTTTTCTATATTTGTAACGGCTGCTGTTTTTAAATTTTGACCTTCATCCTTCAGGCGTGACGGATCCTCCCCTGGACTGAAATGGCTGACTTATTTCACTGCACACCGTCCATGAAAGGGGGGGGGGGACGGGGGACTGCATTCAAAAACTGTTAGATTCCAATCAATTCCTATTCTTTTTAAATACAAATAAAGTTTTTTGTTTGTTTTTTCTGGAGTTCCCCTTTTAATGTATGGGATATTCCGCTGGGAAGCTGTTAATGTTGGGGATGACGGGGTTCATAGCTGTGTACTGCGATCCTTCCGCAGGGAAGCGGTTAATGGGGATGACGGGGTTCATAGCTGTGTACTGCGATCCTTCCGCAGGGAAGCAGATAATGTTGGGGATGACGGGGTTCACAGCTGTGTACTGCGATCCTTCCGCAGGGAAGCGGTTAATGGGGATGACGGGGTTCATAGCTGTGTACTGCGATCCTTCCGCAGGGAAGCGGTTAATGGGGATGACGGGGTTCATAGCTGTGTACTGCGATCCTTCCGCAGGGAAGCGGTTGGTTGGGGATGACGGGGTTCATAGCTGTGTACTGCGATCCTTCCGCAGGAAAGCGGTTAATGGGGATGACGGGGTTCATAGCTGTGTACTGCGATCCATCCGCAGGGAAGCGGTTAATGGGGATGACGGGGTTCATAGCTGTGTACTGAGATCCTTCCGCAGGGAAGCGGTTAATGGGGATGACGGGGTTCATAGCTGTGTACTGCGATCCTTCCGCAGGGAAGCGGTTAATGTTGGGGATGACGGGGTTCATAGCTGTGTACTGCGATCCTTCCGCAGGGAAGCGGTTGGTTGGGGATGACGGGGTTCATAGCTGTGTACTGCGATCCTTCCGCAGGGAAGCGGTTAATGGGGATGCCGGGGTTCATAGCTGTGTACTGCGATCCTTCCGCAGGGAAGCGGTTAATGGGGATGACGGGGTTCATAGCTGTGTACTGCGATCCTTCCGCAGGGAAGCGGTTGGTTGGGGATGACGGGGTTCATAGCGGTGTGCTGCGATCCTTCCGCAGGGAAGCGGTTAATGTTGGGGATGACGGGGTTCATAGCTGTGTTCTGCGATCCTTCCGCAGGGAAGCGGTTAATGGGGATGACGGGGTTCATAGCTGTGTACTGCGATCCTTCCGCAGGGAAGCGGTTGGTTGGGGATGACGGGGTTCATAGCTGTGTACTGCGATCCTTCCGCAGGAAAGCGGTTAATGGGGATGACGGGGTTCATAGCTGTGTACTGCGATCCTTCCGCAGGGAAGCGGTTGGTTGGGGATGACGGGGTTCATAGCTGTGTACTGCGATCCTTCCGCAGGAAAGCGGTTAATGGGGATGACGGGGTTCATAGCTGTGTACTGCGATCCATCCGCAGGGAAGCGGTTGGTTGGGGATGACGGGGTTCATAGCGGTGTGTGCTGCGATCCTTCCGCAGGGAAGCGGTTAATGTTGGGGATGACGGGGTTCATAGCTGTGTACTGCGATCCTTCCGCAGGGAAGCGGTTAATGGGGATGACGGGGTTCATAGCTGTGTACTGCGATCCTTCCGCAGGGAAGCGGTTGGTTGGGGATGACGGGGTTCATAGCTGTGTACTGCGATCCTTCCGCAGGAAAGCGGTTAATGGGGATGACGGGGTTCATAGCTGTGTACTGCGATCCTTCCGCAGGGAAGCGGTTGGTTGGGGATGACGGGGTTCATAGCTGTGTACTGCGATCCTTCCGCAGGAAAGCGGTTAATGGGGATGACGGGGTTCATAGCTGTGTACTGCGATCCATCCGCAGGGAAGCGGTTAATGGGGATGACGGGGTTCATAGCTGTGTACTTAAATAGTGCAGCGCTCAAAACTAACTTATATACACAAATAACTGTGCTCACATACAATGGTGACACACATATAGTGAAATGACCTCAATTATAAGTGCCACTTAATGATGATCTAAGGTGCCCACATAATCACACAAATATATGTAAAACGCATATAAACAACGTATGAAAACGCATATAAAAAAGTCCTCACTGGAAAATAATTTTAAATAATTTAAAAAGTGCTCCAAGTGTGGTGATGTAACCACACTTAATTAGATTTATCCTCAAAAAATCAAACACAAACAAAATTGTCCATAAATACTAGTGGCAAACACATGCAAAGTGCATAAAAGTGCAAAAAATGCAAAAAAATTTGTGCAAAACAAATGTGTCCTTATTCCACAGCAGTGCAACTCTTCCCCTCCTATGGCTAGATTGCCTCCTCACCTCCTTACATCGACCCCTAAGGGCCACACAGCATTCAGGATCTCTCTGGATCCTTATCCCCTGGAGATCAGCACTTCTCCTGCCGTCAAAGTGATCCAGGACGGCAGGAGAAGTGCTGATCTCCAGGGAAGCGGTTGGTTGGGGATGACGGGGTTCATAGCTGTGTACTGCGATCCTTCCGCAGGGAAGCGGTTGGTTGGGGATGACGGGGTTCATAGCTGTGTACTGCGATCCTTCCGCAGGGAAGCGGTTAATGGGGATGACGGGGTTCATAGCTGTGTGCTGCGATCCTTCCGCAGGGAAGCGGTTGGTTGGGGATGACGGGGTTCATAGCTGTGTACTGCGATCCTTCCGCAGGGAAGCGGTTAATGGGGATGACGGGGTTCATAGCTGTGTACTGCGATCCTTCCGCAGGGAAGCGGTTGGTTGGGGATGACGGGGTTCATAGCTGTGTACTGCGATCCTTCCGCAGGGAAGCGGTTGGTTGGGGATGACGGGGTTCATAGCTGTGTACTGCGATCCTTCTACAGGGAAGCGGTTGGTTGGGGATGACGGGGTTCATAGCTGTGTACTGCGATCCTTCCGCAGGGAAGCGGTTAATGGGGATGACGGGGTTCATAGCTGTGTACTGCGATCCTTCTGCAGGGAAGCGGTTGGTTGGGGATGACGGGGTTCATAGCTGTGTACTGCGATCCTTCCGCAGGGAAGCGGTTAATGGGGATGACGGGGTTCATAGCTGTGTACTGCGATCCTTCCGCAGGGAAGCGGTTAATGGGGATGACGGGGTTCATAGCTGTGTACTGCGATCCTCAAATAGAACGTGTTTTGCGGCAGACTACATAAACATTCCTCCGCCATGTCCCGGGGCTCTGTGGTCCGCCGTGAACTCCGTCCCCTTCCTGATTGCACGGTGCAGCCCGCAGTCCTGGCCTTGGACCCGTCTCCAGTGATTTGCCGGCTTGTCGTCCAAACCGCCTCTGGCAGTCAGAACAGGAGCCCCCGCCGCAGCCTCGTGGGTGTTGCTGTGATTGAAGGGGATGCAGTTAACCCTCCGAGTGATCTTCCTAAAGTCCTGTCTGGAGGGTTTAATATACCATTGACAGTACTTTGTGATATCTGTCTGATTGGTTAGAAAATACTTGTCGATCTCGCCAGAAATCTATTGAGCACCCCATCTTCTGCGTCGTCTACCTCTCATTGTTCTCAGGACTACAGAATCCCTCCCTTTTTAATAATCTAGGAGGCGGGGTGTCGAGTATTCCTCTCCTGGACTGCTCCTGTATATAGGTGAGTGAGAGTTGTCACCCCGCAACAGGAAGTGTGTTACTGGCAGGATCACCAGATGAAAGTGGGGGGGAAAAAAATCCTGAAAAGCGGGGAAAAAAAAAAACAAAGGCAGCCGCCACATCTAAGGACAGGTAAGCAGCAATATAATAAACTTTTGTTCTTGGGTTTAGCTACAATGTCAATAGATGATATGTTTCTTTTTTGATACAATGTAACACGCGTGACCGGCTTTAGACCGGAGCTCCGCCATTTGTGGGGCTGCATATGGAAGACAATGGCGTTGATGTACTAAAGGCAAATAGACTGCAGCGGCTGCGCGGGGGGGCTCTGCTGACTTCCGTCATCCAATCATGTGCAAGCAAAGTGCTGTTTTTTGGGGGGTTTTTTTTTGGGGTGGGGGTGGGTTCTTGCACCTCATTTACTAAGTTCTGGAGCAACTGCACTTGCAAAGTTCACAGCCTTTTAGTAAATCCACCCCAGTGCCCATAGCCAGTCTGACGCTGAAAAGACGAGAGCGCCATCGCTTGGTTGGCACCGGGCAGCAGCTCCGTAAGACGTGGCTCTGGGCTCTCCTACCCAGGTGACCCCGGGTCATGGAGTCCGCCCAGCGCCGCTTCCCGTTTTGAGGTCTGACCGCTGGCGGAAACGCATCCGCCGTTACAGGGAGAGGAAGACGGGGAGTAGAGGGATAATAAACACACGGCTCTCTACATCATCATCCCAACATGGCATTATACCACCAAATCACAGGACTCTGCCAAACCTCCCATTAACCCCCCGAGGATCGGATCGGCCAACTGACTCCGGTACGTGTGTGTGTGTGTGTGTGTGTGTGTGTGTGTATATATATATATATATATATATATATATATATATATATATATACATATAAATTATTTTATTATATATATATTATACAGTTGTGTTCAAAATAATATCCGTCAGACATCACTAACCGGATCAATCACTGTTTTTGGTGGAAATGATATTTCTACATGGCAAATAATTTCCTAGCAGGTGTAGTAGAGTAATAGAAATCCAACAGTCATGACATGCATGCTGCTGATTCTGTGTCATTGAATCACTCATTGAAAGGGGCGTGTTCAAAATAATAGCAGTGTGGAGTTCTATTAGTGAGGTCATTCATTCTTTGAAAACCAGGTGGCAATTATTGCCCTTATTTAAGGAAGGAAGGCAGCAAATGTTGGACATGCTGGTTACAGTGCATTTCTCTCTGAAATTCTGAGGAAAATGGGTCGTTCCAGACATTGTTCAGAAGAACAGCGTACCTTGATTAAAAAGTTGATTGGAGGGGAAAACATATAAAGAAGTGCAGAAAATGATCGGCTGCTCAGCTAAAATGATCGCAAATGCTTTAAAATGGCAACCAAAACCTAAAAGACGTGGAAGAAAGCGGAAAACTACCATTGGAATGGATAGAAGAATAGCCAAAATGGGGCGGACTCAGCCAACAATCAGCTCCAGGAAGATGAAAGAAGGTGTGACGTTGCCTGTGAGGACTCAGCCAACAATCAGCTCCAGGAAGATGAAAGAAGGTGTGACGTTCCCTGTGAGGACTGTTACAATTAGAAGACGCCGATGTGAAGCCAAGCTATCTGCAAGAAGCCCCCGCAAAGTCCCACTGTTGGAAAAAAGACGTGTGCTGAAGAGGTTACAATCTGCCAAAGAGCACATTGACTGGCCTAAAGAGAAATGGCGCAACATTTTGTGGACTGATGAAAGTAAGATTGTTCTTTTTGGGTCTAGTGGGCGGAGACAGTTTGTCAGATGACCCCCAAACACTGAATTCAAGCCACAGGACACTGTGAAGACAGTGAAGCATGGTGGTGCAAGCATCATGATATGGGGATGTTTCTCATACTACGGTGTTGGGCCTATTTATCGCATACCAGGGATCATGGATCAGTTTGAATCCATCAGAATACTTGAAGAGGTCATGCTGCCTTATGCTGAAGAGGAAATGCCCTTGAAATGGGTGTTCCAACAAGACAACGACCCCAAAACACACCAGTAAACGTGCAACATCTTGGTTCCAGGCCAACAAGATGGACGTTATGGAGTGGCCAGCCCAATCCCCGGATCTTCATCCAATAGAAAACTTGTGGGGTGACATCAAAAATGCCGTTTCTGAGGCAAAACCAAGAAATAGAGAAGAACTGTGGAATGTGGTCCAATCATCCTGGGCTGGAATACCTGATCACAGGGGCCAGAAGTTGGGGGACTCCATGCAACACAGATGTACAGCAGTTCTCAGAAACAGTGCGACTACAACCCAAATATTCATGAAGTCATTCAAAGGAAAGCAAAATCTTCAAACATTTCTCAGTTTATATAGTGAATGTTTGAGTTTGTAAAGAAGAATACAAACACTGCGATTTTTTTGAACCGTCTAATATTCACTTTTCTTCCATTTTTTTTTAGAGGAACAACACAAATTTGATGTATTTTTTCTTCATGTTGTGATTTGGAATAGAATGTGTCGTGTTCCCAATGCATTTGTGTGGATGGAAATAAAAGGATTAGAAGGATTTTCAGCTTTATTCACTTTTTTCAACACACTGCTATTATTTTGAACACAACTGTATATATATAAAATTATTATTATGACACCGAAGCTCCTGCACTGACTATTGGCACTGAGGACGTTATTTTTCACTTTGAAGTTCTATTCCTAATTTTTTTGTTGAGTTGTATCGAAGTATATGTGTCATATTTAGGCAGCGTGTTTATTGTATTTGGTTCTGGTGATATAGTGTATGTTTTGTGGGTTCTTCTTCTAAAGCAGCCTTTCACAGTTTAGAGGGTTCCCTAGAGGAACCCATGAAATAATTTTCAGGTCTTGAGGAACCCCTTCCTAAAACCAATTCATCAGGGGTCAATGGGAAAATTCCCTACAAATTGGAGAGAATGCTCCTTACAGTGGGGGTCAGTGGGAAGAATGTCCCTTACATTGGTGGTCGGTGGGAAGAATGTCCCTTACATTGGTGGTCGGTGGGAAGAATGTCCCTTACATTGGTGGTCGGTGGGGAATGTCCCTTACATTGGTGGTCGGTGGGAGGAATGTCCCTTACATTGGGGGTCAGTGGGAAGAATGCCCCTTACATTGGGGGTCAGTGGGAAGAATGCCCCTTACATTGGTGATCAGTGGGAAGAATGCCCCTTACATTGGTGGTCAGTGGGAAGAATGCCCCTTACATTGGGGGTCAGTGGGAAGAATGCCCCTTACATTGGGGGTCAGTGGGAAGAATGTCCCTTACATTGGTGGTCAGTGGGAAGAATGCCCCTTACATTGGGGGTCAGTGGGAAGAATGTCCCTTACATTGGAGGTCAGTGGGAAGAATGTCCCTTACATTGGAGGTCAGTGGGAAGAATGCCCCTTACATTGGTGGTCAGTGGGAAGAATGTCCCTTACATTGGGGGTCAGTGGGAAGAATGCCCCTTACATTGGGGATCAGTGGGAAGAATGTCCCTTACATTGGTGGTCAGTGGGAAGAATGTCCCTTACATTGGGGGTCAGTGGGAAGAATGTCCCTTACATTGGTGATCAGTGGGAAGAATGTCCCTTACATTGGGGGTCAGTGGGAAGAATGCCCCTTACATTGGGGGTCAGTGGGAAGAATGCTCCTTACATTGGGGGTCAGTGGGAAGAATGTCCCTTACATTGGGGGTCAGTGGGAAGAATGCTCCTTACATTGGGGGTCAGTGGGAAGAATGTCCCTTAAATTGGGGGTCAGTGGGAAGAATGTCCCTTACATTGGGGGTCAGTGGGAAGAATGTCCCTTACATTGGTGATCAGTGAGAAGAATGTCCCTTATATTGGGGGTCAGTGGGAAGAATGTTCCCTACATTGGAGGTCAGTGGGAAGAATGCCCCCTACATTGGTAATCAGTGGGAAGAATGCCCCCTACATTGGTGGTCAGTGGGAATTATGCCCCCTTAGTTTGGTTGTCAGTGGGGAGAATGTTCCTTACATTGGTGGTCAGTGGGAAGAATGTCCCTTACATTGGGGGTCAGTGGGAAGAATGCCCCTTACATTGGTGGTCAGTGGGAAGAATGTCCCTTACATTGGGGGTCAGTGGGAAGAATGCCCCTTACATTGGGGATCAGTGGGAAGAATGTCCCTTACATTGGTGGTCAGTGGGAAGAATGTCCCTTACATTGGGGGTCAGTGGGAAGAATGTCCCTTACATTGGGGGTCAGTGGGAAGAATGTCCCTTACATTGGTGATCAGTGGGAAGAATGTCCCTTACATTGGTGATCAGTGGGAAGAATGTCCCTTACATTGGGGGTCAGTGGGAAGAATGCCCCTTACATTGGGGGTCAGTGGGAAGAATGCTCCTTACATTGGGGGTCAGTGGGAAGAATGTCCCTTACATTGGGGGTCAGTGGGAAGAATGCTCCTTACATTGGGGGTCAGTGGGAAGAATGTCCCTTAAATTGGGGGTCAGTGGGAAGAATGTCCCTTACATTGGGGGTCAGTGGGAAGAATGTCCCTTACATTGGTGATCAGTGAGAAGAATGTCCCTTATATTGGGGGTCAGTGGGAAGAATGTTCCCTACATTGGAGGTCAGTGGGAAGAATGCCCCCTACATTGGTAATCAGTGGGAAGAATGCCCCCTACATTGGTGGTCAGTGGGAATTATGCCCCCTTAGTTTGGTTGTCAGTGGGGAGAATGTTCCTTACATTGGTGATCAGTGGGAAGAATGTTCCTTATGTTGGTTGTCAATGGAAAGAATTCCCCTTACACTGATGAGAAGAATTGCTCCCCTTACAGTGGTGGTCATAATGCTACTCTTAGAGAAAGCTAAAAAGATCCTTGTATTTTGCCAGAGTGGTTTTGATCCTTGAACGATGCAGGTCCAATTGAACACATCCCAAGGAATCCCTAGCAACCTGTGGAGGAACCTTAGGATTCCACAGAACCCTGGTTGAGAATGGCTGCCCTAGAGGAACCTTTGAAAAAAAAGTCTGGTATTCGGAAACCCCTGGTAAGGTTAGTCCATCAGGGGTCATTGGTGGTGGTAAGTGGGGTGGACCAGAATGACCCCCTTGCCTTCATGCTTCTGGCTCTGCCAAGTGATGTTGGATCAGGAACTATGCAGGTACCACCAGATGGGAGTTCATGTAGCCACAGCTCAGGGAACCCTTAGCCACTCCTGAAGGAACCCTGGGTGAGAGTCTTTCCTACTAAGATGATCCTCAGTGCTTCTACTAGATGTTTGTAAGCAAAATAGATCCCAACTCAATCCCTTCAACTCCAGGATCAGCAAATATTTTCCAAATGCAAGAGCCATGTGCAGGGCCACCAATAGGGGGGGATACAGGGAGTCCTCACATACGGAGCCCCATTAGGTTAGCAGGGAGGCCTTGGCCCAGCCCAGAGGAGCCTCATCATCTCTTGGGTACAAAAACAGCCCCTGCACAGCAAGAGTGAGCGCTTGAAGCCCACGGCTTTCCATGATTGGTCAGGACATGAGCATGAATGTAAGACGGGGCTCTGTTGGGAGCACATGGATGCAAGGTGGGGAAGTCCCCCCTTGCACATCTCAAGGAACCCCTAGCAACCTCTGGAGGAACCTTAGGGTTCCACAGAACCCTGGTTATATTACAAACTGCATGGATCTACCTGGATGTTTCCATGTATTCTATCCTTCAAGGATGTTCTTTTCTTTGCAGCAGATCTGCAGTAAAGCGTCTCTTGTCTGTTTTGACGTTCCGTTGACCTAGATAAACACATACTGTATTGATTCCTGAGTGCTTTGCCAACTGGCACAGAAGGACTTCTCCCCTCAGCCCACTGGCTTCAGGATGTCCTCTATTTTTGGTGAAATGATCTACGACTAGGAAAAAAAAAAAAAAGTAATCTCTGTTTTCAAGTGCCACGAAACTCTGGTCCCTCCTCCTCTGTGGGGACACAGAGGGTGCCAGACCGTCCCGTATATAGGTACGAGGCCTCAGCCAGAGGGAATAGAGACCAGAGGAGGAGAGCTGACTGGGAGCTTGAGCAAAAGTCAAGAACTGGCACCATGAAACTGGTCATAGTCGCTGCTTTCCTTGGGTTGGTGGTCGTATGCATGGGACGTAGAGGTAAGGACACCACTCTATGGACCTATGGGCATCTCTGGAACCTATGGGCATCTCCAGAACCTATGGGCATCTCCAGAACCTATGGGCATCTCCGGAACCCTTCTGTCTTGTCTTCTTTACACATCACTCTATAGAAATGGTAGAACCTTTCTCAGGTGGATTTTTTAGGATTGCTCCTAGAGAGTCATTCCACCAAAAATGGTTAGCTTAGTGTTTGGTACATGATGGAGCCAAAGCTAACTATTTTTGGTGGAATGACTCTCTAGGAGCAATCCTAAAAAATCCACCTGAGAAAGATTCTACCATTCAACCAACCCAACCATGTACACGGATCTTGGAGGGCGGGGCTTTGTAAGGTTCATCATTATTAATGCAGTCATGAGGGATCATGACATACAATGTTGTCCATCCTAACGTGATAGTTCATTTATAGGTGGGAGCTGGTGGATTGGGTTGCCTACTTGCCGTCTGGAACTCCAGCAGTGCAATGGCAGGATCCCCTCACAGTGGGCACAGCAGGTGTACAGGCTGGGGAACTCAGCACAGGGATGGTGGGAACCCCTCATAATGGACACAGACCCAGGATCTCAGCACAGGGATGGTGGGAACCCCTCATAATGGGCACAGCAGGGGTACAGACCCGGAAAGGCACAGGGATAGTGAGAACCCCTCATAATGGGCACAGTAGGGGTACAGACCCCGGGACTTGGCACAGGGATGGTGGGAACCCCTCATAATGGGCACAGCGGGCGTACAGACCCGGAAATTCAGCACAGGGATAGTGAGAACCCCTCATAATGGGCACAGTAGGGGTACAGACCTGGGGACTTGGCACAGGGATGGTGGGAACCCCTCATAATGGTCACAGACCCAGGAACTCAGCACAGGGATGGTGGGAACCTCTCATAATGGGCACAGCGGGTGTACAGACCTGGGAACTCGATACTGGGATGGTGGGAACCTCTCATAATGGGCACAGCAGGTGTACAGACCTTGGAACTCAGCACAGGGATGGTGGGAACCTCTCATAATGGGCACAGCAGGTGTACAGACCTTGGAACTCAGCACAGGGATGGTGGGAACCCCTCATAATGGGCACAGCGGGGGTACAGACCGGGAACAATGAGAAATGAATCTAGTGATCTCATCTGTGCTTTTTTTTTTTTTTTGTAGCTCACGATCGATGGAAGTCCGGCTGATTCCCGCAGCTCTGAAGGTCAGTTTAGGTCTCCATTCATCTACATATTATCAGTATCTATGGTCATGTTCACCCTGACGTGTCTCAGTAGGCACTCTGCAAGGATCTGGTAGCCCCCCCCCCCCCCCCCCCAGTAACATTGAACCATACAGCATGCCTGTTTATTAGGTTGGATGACGATCATATATTTTGTACTGTTTTTGCTTTTTATATACAGATTTATTTTGTTTGAGAAATAAACACTACAAGTAGCACCTATGGCAAAGGATCCCCAGAGCACCGTGGGAGCGGTTTTGTCCCCATTGTCTCCCGATTTAGTCCTCGGTCACATCGGTGCGAGTTGTCACGTGATTTGATCGTTTCAACAAGTCCCGCCCTATTGTCTGCAATAGAAGCGGTCATACCCTGTCCCGGTACTGCCTACATTCCCCCCTACAGTCCCTTTGCTACAGTCCCTTGGTGGGATGTGGTCCAATAACATGGCATCTTTATCCAAATATTCCAGCCCTGATTAGCTTTTGTTCACTATCTGTATGCAGAGCCGGCACAAGGGGTGGGCAGGAGGGACAGCTGCCCTGGGCACAGAGAGGAAAGGGGGGTAAAAAGTAGATGCAGGGTGGTACACCCATTCCATGGCCATGTATTAACTGTGGGGGAGGGGGCGCAATTCTGGATCCTTGTCCTGGGCACTGGACGACCCTGTCCCGGTACTGCCTACATTCCCCTCTACCAGGGGCGGACTGACCATTTGGGAACTCGGGTACTGCCCGAGGGCCCGGGGTCAGTAGGAGGCCCCATGAGATGCCCCTGGTACCTTTTTTTTCATAGGCTTTTTTTGGGTGTAGGTGAAGACACAGGGGCCCCATGATCTCCTATTGCCCGGGGGCCCCATGAGTTGTCAGTCCGCCCCTGCCCTCTACAGCCCCTTTGCTACAAAATGTTGATGGGATGTGGGCCAATAACATGGCATCTTTATCCAATTATTCCAGCCCTTATTAGCTTTTCCTCAGTACCTATATGCAGAGCCGGGACAAGGGGTGGGCAGGAGGGGCAGCTGCCCTGGGCACAGAGAAACAAGGGGGGTAAAGAGTAGATGTAGGGTGGTACACCCATTCTATAACATGTTATCTTCTTCCTTTTATCCAGTTATTCCAGCCCTGATTAGCTTTTCTTCACTACCTGTATGTGAAGTCAGGACAAGGGGTGGGCAGGAGGGGCAGCTGCCCTGGGCACAGAGAGGAAAGGTGGGTAAAAAGTAGATGCAGGGTACACTCATTCCATGGCCATGTATTAACAGTGGGGTAGGGGGCACAATTCTGGATCCTTGCCCTGGGCACTGGACGACCCTGTCCCGGTACTGCCTACATTCCCCCCTACAGTCCCTTTGCTACAAAATGTTTTGTGGTTTTGGTGGGATGTCGGTCAATAACATGGCATCTTTATCCAAATATTCCAGCCCTGATTAGCTTTTGCTCATGAGCCAAGACAAGGGGTGGGCAGAAGGGGCAGCTGCCCTGGGCACAGAGAGGAAAGGGGGGTAAAGAGTAGATGCAGGGTGGTACACCCATTCTATGACATGGTATCTTCTCCCTGTATCCAAATCTTCCAGCCCTGATTAGCATCTCATGTGTAAAGAGAGAAGAAGGGTTGGGGTGGACATCTTCTGTCTTCTTCTTTCACCAGTAATGCTTCTCTTTTCCCTCCGACAGCTTTTATCTCTAGACAAAGAGGCCGCCAACTTTGCCAAAAGACACCGACGTAGCAACCTCCACAATGCGTAAGTGTTGTGTTTTCTCCTCTATGCTATCCAGCATGCCCAACTTGGACCTGGTGATAGTCAGCCAGCCATTGGACCTCCAACAAATGTGCAACTACAAATCTACTAGTTCCCCCCCCATTCCCTGGAATTTGTAGATCCACCCAAACTGGTCATCTACCCGTTGACCATCAACGTTTTTGTGAGTCCTTGCCTCCTGTAGTGTCTTAGCTGACCCAATGGTGGTAAACTTCTGTTTTCTGCATCCTACTAGTTCCCCCGATTCCCTGGAATTTGTAGATCCACCCAAAACTGGTCATCTACCCGTTGACCATCAACGTTTTTGTGAGTCCTTGCCTCCTGTAGTGTCTTAGCTGACCCAGTGGTGGTAAACTTCTGTTTTCTGCATCCTACTAGTTCCCCCGATTCCCTGGAATTTGTAGATCCACCCAAACTGGTCATCTACCCATTGACCATCACTGTTTCTGTGAGTCCTTGCTTTCTGTAGCATCTTGGTCGACCCAATGGTGGTAACCTTCTGTTTTCTGCATCCTACTAGTTCCCCCGATTCCCTGGAATTTGTAGATCCACCCAAACTGGTCATCTACCTGTTGACATCACCGTTTCTGTGAGTCCTTGCCTCCTGTAGCGTCTGGGTTGACCCAGTGGTGGTAACCTTCTGTTTTATGCATCCTAGTAGTTCCCCCGATTCCCTGGAATTTGTAGCACCACCCAAACTGGTCATCTACCTGTTGACCATCACCGTTTCTGTGAGTCCTTGCCTCCTGTAGCGTCTTGGTTGACCCAATGGTGGTAACCTTCTGTTTTATGCATCCTAGTAGTTCCCCCGATTCCCTGGAATTTGTAGCACCACCCAAACTGGTCATCTACCCGTTGACCATCACCGTTTCTGTGAGTCCTTGCCTCCTGTAGCGTCTTGGTTGACCCAATGGTGGTAACCTTCTGTTTTCTGCATCCTACTAGTTCCCCCGATTCCCTGGAATTTGTAGATCCACCCAAACTGGTCATCTACCCGTTGACCATCAACGTTTTTTGAGTCCTTGCCTTCTGTAGCGTCTTGGTTGACCCAATGGTGGTAACCTTCTGTTTTCTGCCTTGCCTAGGGTCTTCGGAGCCCCCGTAAGAGATCCTCTGGAACCCAAGAGAGAAGTTTGTGAGCTCAACCCAAGCTGCGATGAGCTGGCCGACCATGTCGGAATTCAGGAGGCCTACAGACGCTTCTACGGCCCGGTCTAAAGAACCAGAACCATGGCTTCTCTTCTTTCTACGTTACCTTACACTTATCCTGCTTTCTTCACAACGTATCAAGCCGGCCAGTTGCCAGAAGCTGCTTCCAGGAGGGGCCACACTCTCGTTGCTTTGTGTATGTTGTAGCTAAGTAGCCATTACCTCATGTAGCTAGGCAAGAATAGGACACGGGAGAGGGGGAGGGGGGCGGTTATGGGGTTTTAGGATTGAGCCTAAATAGACTTTTGCATGCTGTATGAGAAGGTGGGACCAGGAAAGGTCAGGACTCCTGGACTCACGGTGCACAGGGTAGACATTTCATGTATAGTATGTTGGCAGGCAGGGGCGGACTGACCATTTGGAAACTCGGGCACTGCCCGAGGGCCCGGGGTCAGTAGGGGGCCCCATGAGATGCCCCTGGTACCTTTTTCATAGGCTTTTTTGAGTTTGGGCAAGGACACGTGGGCCCCATGATCCCCTATTGCCCAGGGACCCCATGAGTTGTCAGTCCGCCCCTGTTGGCAGGTCCCCTTACACAGCTAACTGCCACTTGGTGACATATGAAAAATGGCGTATTCGGCTGGTGGAGCAAACAGTTCACCAAGGACTGAGAAGAATGCAATTTTCTAGACTAGCCTTTCATATCCAGCATTCTTGAGGAACAACAAGTCCCAGCCTGCCTTGCCAATCTCTGGCTTGTCATTGTGAACCAGATGGGGATCCATAGGTTGCAAAAGGCCAGGAAACCCCTTACATCGAATAAAAGAACAAAACGAGCTTTACTTCTGTTACCTGCATTTTCCTGCTTGTATGTGAGCCAATCGCAGCCCAGGCCTTCGGTCTCCATCAATATCATATCCTTGTATTCAGTTCTGTGTGCAATGGGGGGCAGGCAGGTGAGTGGAAAATCCAGGCAGGGCGGCCGGGTCCTCGGGGGGGGACCTTGTGTGGGCCCCAAACTGACAAACAGCCCGAAATTCGATTTCCCAGCGTGGACCCACTTTTCAGGCTTGCTTCTATCGCTGCCTATCAGTATGGTGCTATGTGGACTTCTGTTCATGGATGTTTGTTTATTATGAATAAATATGTATTGACTTTATCACGTGTCTGCGTTGTTTCTGTGTAGAGAATCTGCAGAATGTCATTCCTTCCATTACTGGTGTCTAGAGATCTGCAGAACATCGTTCCATCCAGGGGCGGACTGACAACTCATGGGGCCCCTGGGCAATAGGGGATCATGGGGCCCCTGTGTCCTTGCCCAAACTCAAAAAAGCCTATGAAAAAGAAACCAGGGCATCTCATGGGGCCCCCTACTGACCCCGGGCCCTCGGGCACTGCCCGAGTTTCCAAATGGTCAGTCCACCCTTGGCTCCATCCCATCCCCCTCCTGACAGATCCATATTGATATATTCTGCAGTTTATCTCCCATCACATAAGAGTATCCCCTATACATGAGACTCCCCATAACATCAGAGCACCCCCCTATACATAAGACCCCCACATCACATCGGAGTACCCCAGTACATGAGACCCCCCTGTACCATCAGAGTACTTCTAATGCATGAGACCCCCCTATTACATCAGAGTACCCCATATATAGGAGACCCCCCATCACATCAGAGTACCTCCAATACATGAGACCTCCCCATCACATCTGAGTACCCCCTATACATGAGCCTCCCATCTCATCAGAGTACCCCCCTATACATGAGACCCCCCACCACATCAGAGTACCCCTCTACATGAGACCCCCTATCAGAGTACCCCTATATAGGAGACCCCCTCATCACATCAGAGTACCTCCAATACATGAGATCTCCCCATCACATCTGAGTACCCCCTATACATGAGCCCCCTATCTCATCAGAGTACCCCCTATACATAAGACCCCCATCACAGAGTACCCCCAAAACATGAGACCCCCCCATCCCATCAGAGTACCCCCCTATACATGAGACCCCCCCACCACATCAGAGTACCCCGTATACATGAGACCTCCCCATCACATCTGAGTACCCCGTATACATGAGCCCCGCATCTCATCAGAGTACCCCCTATACATAAGACCCCCCCATCACAGAGTACCTCCAATACATGAGACCTCCCCATCACATCTGAGTACCCCTTATACATGAGCCCCCCATCTAATCAGAGTACCCCTATACATAAGACCCCAATCACATAGTACCCCCAATACATGAGACCCCCCCATCCCATCAGAGTACCCCCCTATACATGAGACCTCCATCACATCAGAGTACCCCAATACATGAGACCCCCCATCCCATCAGAGTACCCCCTATACATGAGACCCCCTCTCCCGTCAGAGTACCCCCCATATATATCACAAAGTCATTTTATCCATCACTGATCCGGGACAAACGGAGTCTCCTGCTTGCTTCCCCCCCCCCCCGGGGAGACCCAAAGGGCACCCCAGGGTGCCATGGCACCTTGGTTACTAAAACACAGCTCTAGAGACCTGCAGAACATCGCTCTTCATCCTACACAGTCCTGAAAGGCAAAAATAAACACAAGACTTCGATGTGTTTTCATTCCCCCGGGGTTATATTTATTCCTACCACAGAATATTATCCACATGACTTTCTCTACAACAAACCATTACTAGCCGTGACGAAGCCTGACCGCCCTCCAATGTGACACGGAAAGGCTCCAGGTCACGCCAACAGCTCAGTATTAACCGCAGGTCACCTGTTTGCTTTTATTTTATTTATTTTTTTAGTAAATTTTATATATTTTTAAGGAGATCGATAGAGTGCAGTTGTCTCCTCTCTCTAACACACCCTCGCGTGAAAACCTACCTCTTGAGTAGAAGCATTAGAGAATTAATGGAACCATTATGAAGGTCAGTTTGGCCGTGTTTAGACATTGTTAGCCTTCCATGTTGTGTTCTATATCTACACGTTGCAAGGGGGACAAGGACGAGAGGGGACAAGGATGTCCTGATCTTGGGACTCTGGGAGGAAATGAGGCCCATGTACCCTTGAAAGCCCAAGATTAGGAAAGCCCTGGAGCTACAAGGCACGAGGAACTTGGGGTAGCTTCATGGTAGACGGGAGTGACCACAACTTAATGGAGCAGGAGAGGGGAGGTCTACTGGCATTGGAGGGTGTCATTGTGGGAGCAAAGTTGATTCAGGTCTTCAGGACATACTGAAGCAGACTGAGGCCTAAGGAACAAGGGGAACACAAGTTAGAATTGGGGCATTGAGAACAAAATCGCTTAGGTCCGATCTACATGAAGAAATTATGGTGGAAGGGACGATTTTGATCATGCAAATCAAGGCACTTGTACAAGGTGGTATCGAAAAGTATCAAGATTAGTTTTGTAACACACCAACAGAGGGCGTGCCGACCTTCATAAGTCATTGAGCCAAAAGACATCGTCCTGTGTACATCGGGAGCTGTGCCACTGGTGCTATTCTGACCATGTGCGTTACTACGTCCGCTCTTTCAACATGGACAGCAAATTAGAACAAAGAGCAAATGTGAAGTTCTGCGTGAAAACTGGGCAAATCACTGGATCTCCACAATGTTGGCAAAACGCTGACCTTTGAGCTAGATCCTCATCTTCGGAAAGAGGGCATTTTTCGGGGTTTAGCTCGTTGAGCGTCTTCCTGAGCTCTTGTCGTCTTCCAGTGATGTTCTTCTGCTCTTGACACCGACCTTTGAGCTGGATACTCATCTTCCGGAAGAGTGGCATTTTTGGGGGTTGAGCTCATTGAAGGTCTTCCTGAGCTCTCGTCGTCTTCAAATGATGTTCTTCCGCTCTTGACACTGACCTTTGAGCTAGATCCTCATCTTCGGAAAGTTGGCATTTTTGGAGGTTGAGCTCGTTGAAGGTCTTCCTGAGCTCCTGTCATCTTCCAGTGATGTTCTTCCGCTCTTGATGCCGATCTGTTGAGCTGGATCTTCCAGAGGGCATTTTTGGGGGTTGAGCTCATTGAAGGTCTTCCGCTCTCGTCTTCTTCCAGTGATGTTCTTCGCTCTTGATGCCGATCTTTGAGCTGGATCCTCATCCTTGGGAAGAGGGCATTTTTGGGGGTTGAGCTCATTGAAGGTCTTCCTGAGCTCTCGTCTTCTTCCAGTGATGTTCTTCCGCTCTTGACGCTAACCTTTGAACTGGATCCTCATCTTCAGGAAGAGTGACATTTTTGGGGGTCGAGCTCATTGAAGGTCTCCCTGAGCTCTCGTCGTCTTCCAGTGATGTTCTTCCACTCTTGACACCAACCTTTGAGCTAGATGCTCATCTTCGGAAAGTTGGCATTTTTGGAGGTTGAGCTCGTTGAAGGTCTTCCTGAGCTCCTGTCATCTTCCAGTGATGTTCTTCCGCTCTTGACGCTGACCTTTGAACTGGATCCTCATTTTCGGGAAGAGGGGCATTTTTGGGGGTTGAGTTCATTGAAGGTCTTCCTGAGCTCCCGTCGTCTGCCAGTGATGTTCTTCCACTCTTGAAGCGCATGTGCCACTCAGATCACCTCGAACGACTCGTTGCAGCAACTTGCCGAATCATGTCAAACGTCTCTCTGGCAGATTTGCCCCGTTTCACGCAGAATTTCCCCTTTGCTTTTTGTCCTAACTTGCTGTCCATGATGGAATAGCAGCCGTGGTAATGCTCGTGTTTAGAATAGCACCAGTTGCACAGCTCCCGATGTACACAGGACATTGTCTTTTGGCACACTGATGTGCTTGTGCTGCCATCTATTGGTGTGTTACAAAACTAGTCTTGTAACGTTTTGATACCACCTTGTATAGCTTTCTACCAACCTATGTCACCCAACGGCACTCAAGTGAACCGAAACAAACATGTAACGGCAGTTTACATTTGACTGGCTGCGTCATGACCAGGGGCGGACTGACCATTCGAGCACTCGGGGCCTGCGCGAGGGCCCTGGGTCAGTAGGGGGCCCCATGAAATGCCCCTGATACCTTTTTTTATAGGCTTTTTTGATTGTGGGCAAGGACACAGGGGCCCCATAATTCCCTATTGCC